GCTCAGTGGCTCTTTTCAGCTCAATGAATGATACAACACCACGGTCATTGGCTAAGATTGTTACTTTGACTCCCTCAGCTAAAGAGCGCATCCTTGCTTAGCTCAGTAGAGTTAACTGGATTCTCCTGCAAGGGTATCTTGGAAGCCGGGTATGTGGCTATAGATATTCGACCAGATCCAGGTAGTTGTCCAACAATTCAAAAGCAGTTTGACAAAGTACATTGAGACAGAGCCAGTGTGTGTGTAATATTACCATTTGTTCATATCATTTTGGATTCTACATACATAAAAATGAAAAACACAGAAAGTAAGATGATAATGCAACTTTAACATTTATAAATAGATTTTATTTTAAAAGTGATTTTTAGTAAACTCACATGATGCAAAGCAAAACTGTACTGGATCTGGATTCGTTGGGCTTCTTTGTCAGTGTCACTCATGAAGACTTTGATATTGCTAGATATAAGACTTATCTTCCGATTATCTATAAATATTTCTCTTGTACAACTTCTCCAGCTTCAGGAGATCGTTAAGAACAGGGATGCCCAAAAGTTAGATCCCAGATGTTGTAGAACTACAGCTTCCATGTTGATTTGCCATAATAAAGCATCCTAAAGGCATGCAAAGCATCATAGGAATTATAGTTCTACAACATCTGGGGGAAAGGTACTACCTTTTGGGCACCCTTGATTTAGAATATTTGCAACATATACAGAGTTCAGCCAAAATATGGCTATGCACAGCCAACCCAAAACATAGCCAACTTATCCCAGACACTATGTGGAAGTAAATTCAGAGTCGATATGGGTGACACCCTGCCACAAAACAACAAACCATGGTTGCTAGACCGATGTACTAAAAAAAGACTAATGTACTACCCTAGTTTAAAACCAAAACAACATAAAAGTAAACCATTTATGTAAAAAACACTTTTAAAAGTCTGTGCTGTTTGACACATACATTCTTTATTTCTGGGATGTGTTTTGCATTAGAGAATAGGGATTTATAAATCAGTATATCTTCTTTATTATATTGAATACATTCATCTGGATAATTATGACTTACCCCATAATTATTTCAGGATCCTGTAAGACAGTGACGGCAATTGCTGATACACTAAATGTTTGTGAAGTAAATTTTCCATAATGCTCAAGAATTTTAGGTCAACTTAGTGTAGTTCACCAACATCTGAATTGTCATAATTAGAGATCACTGTGGAATGGAGTTTCACTCAGGGTTGTTCACTAAATTATGAAATATTGGAAATCATTCCCAGGACTATTTAGTAAACTACATATCGTAGCAGATTTAAATCCAAATGGCAAAACGGAGGCTAAAATAGCCATGCTGCGCAAATAGCAGAGTTGGGGAATTTCTTTTAAAAATAAGCTAATTTTTTAAATTTGAGTTTTATTTTCTACAGATAGCGCTTTTGTGACTATACTTGCTTTGACAAAAGTCGATATGCTAGAACAGCAAATCAAATCCAAAACTGCCATAAAAAAACCAAAACATTTTATTGTTGAAGGTAGATTCATGAGAGTATTTTAGAGCTATAATTTTGACACTTTTCAAGTAATGTTCGACTTAACCATTATCACACATAGGGACATTGTGGTGATCACTGTGAGAGCCAGTCCTAGTCATCCCATGGTTTATCTGACAAATACAATATGCAGTCTCCCAGAAAAATCACAAGTTTTGGGATCCAATCTTGCATTGCTAGATAGCCTCAGAGCTGGATTGAAGTTGACCCCTCCCACAGCCATGGGCTCTGTTCTATAAGTGTTATGTGTGATGGTTGAGTGTTGAATATGTGTGAGGTAGATTGAGTCTTGTGTGGGAGTGGCAGAGTGTGCCTGTGTGGTTGCAGAATTTGTGTGTGGAGGATTCTTGAGTGTTGTGTGTGGAGGAGAGTCTGAATGTGGTTGAGCATTGTTGGTTTTTCATTTGCCCCCCTCTGCCAAAAGTTTAATAGGAGAGAGTTATAATCCTTGGTGACTCAAAGGAGAGCAGTCCCTGGTGGTCCAATGGTCCCCAGTCCGAGACCTGCCCTATGTGGCCGTATATGCTGCCTGATGGGTAATCTGGCTGATGGCCTCACTTAGGAGGGATACAGAAATAATCTGGTGCACAATCCCAACATGTATGAAGTATAAGCAGTTGCCTTGCAATATAGGCTGAAGCTTAGGCCAGTCACTGGGATGACATGCCTGGTGAAATCCCAGATCAAGTGTTCTTGGACTGCTTCATGTCTAAGGTGCCCAGAAGCAATAATACTTCATGTAGATATAATAGTACTGTACGTGTAATCACAAGTAAGTTATATCTATGATTATAACAGGATCTAGTCATCCATATATTTGTGCATGTTTGATCCAATTTACGATAATATAGTTTATGCAAATGTATGACTTGCTATTATGTTATGACTCAACATGGAGCTCTTAACAAGTGTTAAAATGGAACAGGATTACAGATATGGAGTATAGCCGAGAACACTATAGTCACCTAAATTACTTTAGCTAAATAAAGCAGTTTTAGTGTATAGATCATTCCCCTGCAATTTCACTGCTCAATTCACTGTCATTTAGGAGTTAAAGCACTTTGTTTCTGTTTTTGCAGCCCTAGCCACACCTCCCCTGGCTATGATTGACAGAGCCTGCATGAAAAAAAAAACTGGTTTCACTTTCAAACAGATGTAATTTACCTTAAATAATTGTATATCAATCTCTAAATTGAACTTTAATCACATACATGAGGCTCTTGCAGGGTCTAGCAAGCTATTAACATAGCATGGGATAAGAAAATCTTAATTAAACAGAACTTGCAATAAAGAAAGCCTAAATAGGACTCTCTTTACAGGAAGTGTTTATGGATAGCTATGCAAGTCACATGCAGGGAGGTGTGACTAGGGTTCATAAACAAAGGGATTTAACTACTAAATGGCAGAGGATTGAGCAGTGAGGCTGCAGGGGCATGTTCTATACAGCAAAACTGCTTAATTAAGCAAAAGTTGTTCAGGTGACTATAGTGTCCCTTTAATTATTCTTTTTGGGTAAGGTTGTCTGTATTAAGATGATGCCTATAGATTTCAATCAGCTGCTTTCTCCCACATCAATCGATAAGCAGGAATGCAGTTTCAGTTAACCACAGAAGACATATCCACAGAAGACATAGTATATTTATATTCGAGGAAGTCAATCCTTTAATCTGTAAAACTGATGTTATGTTTTTATTTGACAATTTACTGTTCTAATAATATTTCTAGTTACATCGCTATGCTGCACTGCAAGTAACTCCTTGTACAGCAGCACATTGCCACTTGGTGTCAGTAGATGGCAGTTTTGCCAATATGTAACGCTACAGTTGTCCTTTACATTCTTCCCTAAGAGTCTCATTCGGTCATGTGACTGAGTTTCAAGGGGAAATATGCAAGGGGCCACTGGCAATGTTTGTCCTGGGGAGGTCAAGTGGAAATGGATGTCCTCTTTTCTCACACATCCCACTATGGATGGTCTTATGCACATGGAGTATGTGATATATTGGTTTAACAGATGGATGCTGCTGGAGTTGCCAGCTGTGACATCATATATCCTACCAGCCTCTATTAGGATATCATGTACTGTGTTGACAGCATTTACAGAGATGTGTGCAAGTCTAAAAGATGCAGAGTCTTTGTTTACTGTGACTCCATTGCTTCCAATGACAACTGTTGAGTGTTATGCATGTCACAATCACTCTTACCCCGGGTTCACTTGCAGGCTCCTCCAGTGACATCTACATACTTATCCTAGACTGGTAGCCTGGTCAGACCAAATACTGCCGTCTATTGGGAAATGCCCCCCTGGGCCTGGAGAGCATTCATACACCAGGAGTGCCTGTAGGCACAGAATTCTCAACCCCCGTAATAAACAAATAAAATAACTAATACAAAATAAAATGACCATTTTAAACAAATAAAGTGAGTGTGTGTGTATATGTGTGTAGTGTGTGTGCTAGTTTAGCAGTGTATATAAATGAGTACATGTCTTTGTGTGTATGTTTATGTATGCGTGTGTCAGTATTTGTATAGAGTGTGCTTGTTCTGCAGTGTCTGTAAGAGTCTAAGTAGCGGCATGCATAGTATTGTGCAGGGGAGGGCTGGCAGCCTTAGGCCTGGGGGGCAAAACCAGTCAAGTGGCCCATTGCACCACCAAATCAGTTCACCATCCATGCCCACCTTTTCCTGGTTTTATAACGGATATTGATGTTATGCTAATCAGTAGCTCTTTGCCATACCCGCTCCTTCACGGCTCCAGGCACTGCTTGTTGTGAGTGTGAGCCACTGTAAATTAGGGGCAGAGGGCACTTGCACTGCGGTAAAGATGGGGCTGGACAGGAGGAGAGTGCAGTGCAATCAGTGCACTCCCCTCCTGTGGGTCACCAGTAGACTGGTGCACCTGCCCAGGATCAGTGCCGGTGCAAGGATTTTTGCCGCCCTAGACAAAATAAAAATTTGCTGCCCCCCCATGTGACATCACAATGCCCCACCCATATGAACTAACGCCAGTGCTGCACACAGTGTGTGTTTACATTAAAAAGCCTGCAGGGACCAGCTATAGACACCAGAACCACTTCATTAAGCTATAGTGTCCCTTTAATGTGAGGTACATTATAGATTAGTGTCACTAATAATATACTAGATTGCCTACTTACAAGCAGATGAGGATGATGATGGGCTGCAGTTTGGCTCCACTGGTCTGGTGTAGAACAGGATCTCTGGAGGCTGTTTGCAGCTGTGGTCACAAAATTCAATGTTCTGGGAGAATTGGAAGCAGCTCCATTTTTTGGGGCCCCTTACACAGCTCAAGGTCTGGGCCCCAGGGCCTGACGGTGAGTATGCCCATAAGGCCCACTCATAAGTTCCACCCACCCATGAGTTCGCTCACAGGGAGTGGAGTGTGTAGGGGATGTGTTATGTGTTATTGTAGAGGATCTAATATGTGTGCTTATGGTATGTAGTGTATAGGGTTACCAGTTTGTGCAGGTGATGTAGTGTGTTTGTGTGTAGTGGAAGCAGTGTGTATTTGTGTATAAGGGATGTATTATGTGTTTCTGGTTGTGTGTAAGGGATGCATTGTGTGAATCTGTGTTTGTATGCATAAGGGATGCAAGGTGTGTGTCTGTATGTGTGTGCATTGAGTGTAAGAGATGCATTGTGTTTCTGTGTGTATGTAAGAAAAGAAGTGTGTGTGTTTGCATATGTGTGTACGGGTTTGCATTGTCTGTTTCTGTGTATGTGTGCAAAGGATGCATTGTCTTTATGTGTAAGGGTTGCATTGTGTGTGTGTGTGTAATGGATGCATTGTGTGTTTCTCTGTGTGTAAGGGAAGCATGTTGTGTTTCTGTGTATGTATAGGGATGCATTGTGTGTGTGTGCGCGCGCGTAGTGTGAAAGAGCTTCCTGTCTTGGCCCCTGTCCTATAGAGCTGCCCCTTCTGTCCCGTAGAGCTCTCCCCTGCACCTTAGTGGTCTCTCCTCTCCCCCACCCTCCCCTAGCGGTCTCTTCTCACACTCACCCACCCTCCCTGTGCTCTTCTCACTCCTCCCTCTATGTGTTCTCCTCACACCCCCTGTGTTCGTCTTACCCCCTCCTCCCTGTGTTCTTCATACTTCCCCCCTTGGTCGTCTTACTCCCCCACCTGTTCTTCTTAACCCCCTTCTTCTTATTGCTCCCCCTTCTTCTTCTTACCCCCCCTTCTTCTTCTTCCTCTTCCTCCCCCTTCTTCTTCTTACTCCCCCCATTTCTTCATACTCACCCTTCTTCTTACCCCCTCTTCTTCTTCTTACTCCCCACTC